GTTGCGGTGGCGTGGCCGGGGGCGGCCGGGGCTGCTCACGCGCGGAGGACGCGGGGGCCCGGAGAGCGCAGACCGCAGGGGGAGCGACTGAAAACGTTCAGGCATCCGTGGTAGCGGCGCGAGACAGGGCAGGGCGGAGAGAACAAAGTGAAGGGTACAAAAAAACCCTCCTCCTCCTCCTCCTCCTCCTGAGCCAGCGGCAGCTTGGGGCCAGAAATGAAAGTAGGAAGGGAGCGGGATGGTGGCTTTTCCTTTCTCTCTGGACACGCGCCCCATTTAAACGTGCCCGGCTCCCTCGGTTGCTTCCAGAGCCTCAGGAGTTGCGGTGGTTTTGCTGTAGGGTGCCTAGGAAAAAAAGTTCTTTTGAAGTAATGTTCAGATTAGGACACATCGCTGGTTCCCAGTAAAGGAGGAAGTGAGAACCTTGATTTTTGTCTTCCCTGGCTCTGTTGGCTAGTTACGCCTTCCTTCGTTTTCTTTATTTCCTGTTTTAACAAAGAATCCTGGTGTTTGATGTCAGGCTGAAACTAGAAGGCAACTTTTGGTGATCCGTGGCTGTAATGCAGAGTTCCTTGTTGTTGCTGACACGCGTTAGACATGAAGAAGGTCCAGTACAGTACTGGTCGGCATCCTTTTCCTTGCGGCGTGCTTTGGTAATGCTTGCTTCTGGTATCACAACTTTCAACTTTTTGTTACAGACATGAACAATGACTATAGTTGACAAGGGATCTGACTCTTCAAACCCCATATCTGGTCAGAATCAAACTGGCAGCTCTGTGGGACCCCCTAATGAAGAGATGGACTCAGACTCTTCCAGCTGGGGCACTGTGTCATCTCTGGACGTTGCAAACCACAGAATCTCTTTGGGACCAGTACCTGGAGCTACAGATTATTCTAGTTCACCTGCATCTGAAAAACCCAAGCCTTCAGCTCAGAAAGATCAATGTAAGTTTGTCTTGTCTTTCTTTCTCAACTTACTATATAGATCAACTTATATATAGAAAAGCTACTGTTTGTTGATTCTGCAAGCCTCATCTTTGTAATTCTGACTTCTCGGGACAATCCCTGTTGGTATAAAATGGGACTACTGTAAGCAAGTGCTGCTTTATTGTGAACTTTGTGAAACCAGTTCATGTGACTGACATTGCGGATGTAATTTTGACATGTGATTAATCAATATAGCACATTTCTGGAGGTGTAAATAGACTATTACTTACAGAATATTTATTAAGTCAGATATTTATTATTCCCTTAGAATGATCTGTTTTATCAGCACTGCTGTTATGGGCTGTGTTATTTAAACAATAATAATAATAAAAATGGAAATCCCCATCAGTCTGGCTTTTTTTGTGCCAGTTGCTTGCTTGCTTTAGGACGTTTTTGCATTTTATTTGCGCTTACACCAAAATAAGCATATGTTCTCTTTGTATCTTAAGGTAACAGGGGAGGATTTTAATTAAGGCAAATTGAATTAGCTAGAACAGGGCTTGTTAAAAGAAATTACTTCCTGGATTTCAGCAATTCTTTAATTCTTTTGACTTGTTCCCCCCTGTTGGGACATTCTGATGTTTTTAACTTTTTTCCATGGGACATGCATATCCTTGAGTTCCTTGCTTGGTAACACTGAGACAGCCTTTACTAACATGAAATATATTATGCTGTATATTGTAATTGATTCTATTCAGGCTCTTCTAGGCACTCATATATAGGATAGTATTACTTTTAACATGATTTTAAAATGTAAATGATTTAATATCTTAAAAATGTAACTTGTTTGGCAGCTGTAAACGATGGCATCGCTCCACCACAGAAGGTTCTTTTTCCAGCAGAGAAGATTTGTCTGAAGTGGCAGCAATCCCATAGAGTTGGAGCTGGTCTCCAGAACCTTGGCAATACCTGTTTTCTCAACTCTATCCTGCAATGTTTGACTTACACACCCCCTCTTGCCAATTACATGCTTTCTTATGAACACTCCAAGACATGTGAGTACTTCTAAAAAGTACATTTCTAAAATCTGTTGGTCTGTCCTTAAAGTGAAAGGAGAGCAGCGATTATGTAGAGCAGGAATAGACGACCTATTCTGGCTGTGGGTCAGATTGACTCACCCTCCATCAAAGGAAGGTGGGCGTAAGGATCCTGTCACCACTGCTGCTTGTTTCTGTGATGGACTGGGGAGAGTACCCACAGCAAAAGCCCCTCCCATCCCCTTCCCAAAGGCCTACATCTGCAGGTTTGATCCAGAGGTTTCGCAGGCCAGATCTAGTCTGCAGGCCATGGGTTACCAGCCCCTATTGTAGAGGGTGTTCTTGATTTTTCTATCCTAGAAGCCAGTTCTATGTCTCATATAGCCAGTAGGAGCACCCTATGGAATAAACCCTTTCACCTCTTCACCACTATTAACTTACAGTCTACACAGTGGTTTTTTTTATCTATAGCCTTACATTTTTTAATGTTTTCTATAGCTGCATATACCTTACCAGTTTGTGATGTTTTGTTGCTTCCCTTTTCAGGTCATGAGCAAGGATTCTGCATGATGTGTATAATGCAAACTCACATTAACCAAGCCCTCTCAAACTCTGGCAGTGTCATTAAACCGATGGCTGTTATCAATGATCTTCGACGTAAGTAGTTCCAAATAATTTATATGCCAACTTTGTATTTATATACTGTGCTATTGCCTTGCTTTGTTTAACCATAGTTCCTGGAGCTTTTTCTAATTCAGCCTTGCGGAGAAAAGTGCGTGTGTAGGGGGTCAGGGGGGAGTTCTTTGTTTGTTAAATGTCTTTCTCCTATTTTCTTGTGTGATGCATATTTTTAACTTTTTTTTTTTTTAATTTGTTAGGAATAGCAAAACATTTCCGTTTTGGAAATCAGGAAGATGCGCACGAATTTCTACGTTACACTGTTGATGCTATGCAGAAAGCATGTTTAAATGGGAGCACCAAGTAAGTGCAAAATAAAATAACGTGACTATATCCTATCATTCCTATTACAGTTTCCCTGTAAATAAAAGAAAGCGTGTTTTGAATTTTCAAAAGAAGAGAAACTCTTAGAACAATTCATTCATTAACTTAAATCTTTTTAATTACTTGCATCTTTTTTTTCCAGATTGGACAGACCTACCCAGGCTACTACACTCATCCATCAAATATTTGGAGGCTATCTTAGATCTAGAGGTACTTTTCCTAAAATTACTTCTTAGAATGGTTTTGTGCCTTTAACTGTTTTTATTAAGTAACTTCAGCTCTAGTTAAAGTAATGTGCCAATAAATTTAAATTAGCACAGTTTTTATATTGCATATTTGCATCTGTTTTCATTTCAGTAAAATGTTCAAACTGCAAAGGAGTTTCTGATACCTTTGAGCCATACCTTGATATTGCATTGGAGATAAAGGTAAATTATTCTGTTACTATGATAGGAGTATTTTTAAACCTCTTTTAACTTTCCCAAAGTAAGAGTTGATTTAAAATGTGCACTCTTACAGCTGGTTCTTGCTACATAGCTCTGTTGTGGTTGGAAATACACTCTGTCCTTTTTGTGGTACCTTTCATCAATGTAAACCGTTTTCATGTATGTGTACTTGCTTAAATTGGGCAAGTATTACGCTAGAACTCCATTCCATATTCGCAGGTCCACAGCTATGACAATGCTATTATTTCCCTGTTTTGTCCCCAACAAAGATTTAATAAAGTGTTAGAGTGGGGTTCCTTCCTAAAACTTAAAAACGATGTACATCAAAGTGTGTGAATTAAGATTTTTTTTAATGGTACGGTATACTCAAGATTTTTTTGCTGCTTTATTCACAATATTTGCTAGTCTGCAGTAGATATCTGCTGGTACAAAGTCAGTAGGTTCTAATGTAACTCTGGGTGCAGAATTTCCTATGATATCTCCAGTAACTCAGTGCACTGTTTTATTATTCTTAGACGGCTCAGAGTGTAAGCAAAGCTCTAGAATTGTTTGTGAAGCCTGAACAGCTAGATGGTGAAAATTGCTACAAATGTAGCAGGTAAGATGCATTCACACATCATTAATAACCTAGATTTTGGTTCTGTGTGTTCTTTGTCTTCAAAAAAGAAAAGTTGGTTTTCGTTTGGCTCAGAAGCACAGTGTTAAGAAAGACATTTTGTCGTATACTGACTAGTACAAAACAAAACAAAAGTTCATCACGGGGGCACAGAAGGGAATTGGTGAGGTTTTATTCACCAAGGCGCCCCCGGGGGTTACAAGAAATAATGGCCACAAGCTAGCAGAGAGCAGATTTAGACTAGACATTAGGAAGAACTTCTTCACAGTTCAAGTGGCCAAAATCTGGAATGGGCTCCCAAGGGAGGTAGTGCTCTCCCCTACCCTGGGGGTCTTCAAGAGGAGGTTAGATAAGCATCTAGCTGGAGTCATCTGAACCCAGCCCTCTTTCCTGCCTATGCAGGGGGTCGGACTCGATGATCTATTGAGGTCCCTTCCGACCCTAGCATCTATGAATCTATGAAATAATCTAACCTGGGAGAGAGAAAAGACTTGTGTTAGTTTTGTAGAATGAGAAGGGTTCAGTAAGAGAGACCATCATTGGCTCACTTACAAGTTTAGCTTTTAGGTTGATGTCACAGAATTTGTTATATGGCCTCATTTTGTGGAACAGTTGTAACAGCTGCAGATAATCTGCCTGCAGTTCCTTGTCCCATATGGGGATAGGTCCTCCTTTCTCTGAGTTTGGCTTTTACTCTTCTGCATCCTGGCAGTAAACTGAAAAAAAATCTGTTGTGCAAGCAATTTAATATAGTAAAATATTACTGAAATTTTCATAGTAAAAGAATGCTGCTGCACCTTTTTTAGTTTTTCCAGACTATTTCTAAAGACTGACTGCTTCAGTAAGAAGTCTGCTCCTACTACTCTGGGGGTTGTTAGGAAGTACCACTTTTGTTGGCATCCCCAGGTTTCGGAGAAGCGTACACGCATCTGTTCTGGACCCTTTTTTCTTTATCCAAGGGAGCTGCTGTCAAATGTTCTCTCTCTCTCTCTCTCTCTCTCTCTCAGCTAACCTGAAATGTTGTATATGAATGTCTTAAGGGCAAAAACACAGCATGCAAAGAAATATTTAATTAAATGATGTAGATAAGTTACTGAGATATGAAGAACCATGATAAATGCTTAAAAATCAAAATAAGCTTAACCAATTGCCTGTGTTTGCTTTCTAAGGTGTAAAAAGACAGTTCCTGCTTCAAAAAGGTTTACAATACATCGATCTTCTAATGTGCTCACCATATCTCTGAAACGATTTGCAAATTTCAGTGGTGGAAAGATTTCAAAGGTATATACAATTGTAATGCAATTTTATCTTGACATTTCCATTTTCTACCACCAAGTACTCAGGCAAAAGTTAATACCTTTGTAAAGCAAGTCAAGACTTTAGAGGGCAACAGTTATGTTGAAAAATACTTCAGTAACTTTACCCAAGAAACAACAAGATAACAGCAAATTTCCAATTTCAAATTGTTTGTGAAGCCTGAACAGCCTGAACAATTGTGACAATCACTGATCTGAACGTTAACTAGGGTGCTGCAGTACTGTGGGATACCTTGAAATCTATTCAAGGGTGTGCACAGGGTGCACATGTAATGTTAGCACTATTAGGTGTGCGAACATGATTAATAAGATTAACCCAGAACTTTCAAATAGGAATCCATACCGGTAAAAAAAATTTGGGCTTTTGTGCTACTTCTGAGATCTTTACAGCAGAAAAATTGCTCTATTATTTTTCCTTAGTCAAAAAGAGCAACAACCAAGACCTAGCGTTTTCTGAGAGGTGCCTTGGGTCTAACAAGGGGCACCTTGAATCCAGAAAGGTTGAGAATCCTTGCTTTGAATGAACAATAAACACTTGCCTATCTCTGCTCTTAGAAAACTTGTTTTCAAGAGGATGGTCCTTGAACTTTTACAGTATTATAGACTGGTCATTGGGAAAACTGGTCATTTGCCAAAGGAAACCAAAACTTCACTTGGGGTTGGGGAAGATATACTTTTGGTCCCTCTTTTGCTTATGTTTTTTTAGAAATATTTCTACCTCCAGCATCTGAAATGTTTCCAGCTTTCTATAACTTGTAAAATATTCCAGGATTATCTGTGCTTTTCTTTTCTATTTCTGTTCAGGATGTAAAATATTCCGAGTTCTTGGATCTTCGCCCATTTATGTCCCAGCAAAACGGAGAACCAGTTCTTTACACCCTGTATGCAGTCTTAGTACATACTGGTTTTAGCTGCCACGCAGGACACTACTTCGCCTACATAAAGGTAAAGATCAGCATCTTTTCTTTTCTTAACAAATTTTAAAAAAGTAAAAAACCTTCCAAACATCAGCGGTTGGGACATTAATTATTTTCTCATTCCTCTCTTCACCAGAACAGCCTTTGCTCTGAGGAAGAGAGCTGTTCTTGGAGGCGGGCGGTTTGGATGATCTGTCATGGTAGGACCCCATCCATATAAGGACACACAGAACTTCGCATACCTTTTTTGCCAACTTTCTAAAGGAAGTCCTTTTATTCCTTTCTGGATGGGGATTCTCCCAGGGGAAATCTTTCCAGGGGAGTATTAGCACTACCCAGATATCTTCATTGACAAAAAAAGTGAGTCTTCCCCACTCTGTGTTCTTTTTTTTTTCTTTCTTTTTTTTTCCTTTTTTTAAGGTATCTCAGGTAGTCCTAGTGTTACTGGGATTTCCTATGCAATCCCTCTTGGCTCTAGGCCATTCCTGTGCAATCTTTAGTACTACCAACACACTTCTCCCTCTCAGGTGGATCATCAATGCTTCCAGGAAGTACTGTTGCTGGCAGGAAATGCTGATTTTTTTCCCCAGAAGGTTTCTCCTGCAAAAGGGCCTTCCTTTAATAAACAAGGTTTGTAGGTTGTGTAAATGTAGGCATTGGCAAATGTGCAAAAATGTTACTATGACTCCTGGGATTTTCCTTTTGCTGGAGATTTTTCTGCCCATAATTATTTGAGTCAGCAAAATTATGTGGACTCTTTCTAGATTTTTTGTCGTTGTTTTAAAGAGTATTTTCAAAGCTAACTGGTTCCTCTGCATGTGTCTTTGTCTGTCTGTGTAGTTTATAGCCTCATTGGGACAGGGATGGTGGTTTCCTTTGTCTCTGACAGAGCACTATGCCAGTACTTAACAAATTATAAATACGTATTGGTGGTCCTCACCATGGAACTTCAGAAGTCCTCAGTGGGCTCACTTTATTACTTTTTCTTTTTTTTTTTCTTTTCTTTTTTTTACTATACTTTTTTAACAATTGCCACTGCTGTGGCTTCCTCTCCTGGTGAGGTCTGAGATGCCTTTTCATCCCAAAATGAAGATGCCAAGTTTTTTTTTTTGTTTCAGAAGCAACTATGATAGTATAATTAAGTTAAGAAATGGCTGTACTTTATCTCTAAATTGCTGTCTACTGCTTTTTTGCATTAACTTTTGGGAGTTAGAACTAGTGAAAGGTTTCATAGTCAATATTTGAATAACAAAGACACTGAAGAAATAATTGGATGTCCAGCATATTGTAACACTTGGGATCTCAAAAGCTTGTCAGATTTGGAAATGCTTTCTTAGATGAGTATGCTTGGTGAAGTAGAGAACGTCCAATTGCTAGCCCTGGACCAGTTACACTGATCTATCAGTGTCCTTTATTCTGTTTCCTTTTGAACTTTGGCTCCTTTTTCCCCTTTTCCTTGGTTCTGTTACTTTTATTTCACTGCTGCTGGGTCTGTAGTTTTATGTGAAGTTAACAAAAGCAATTTTAAATTAAAGAATATTGGCTGTCATCTTCCTTTAATATATTGATGTAAATTAATCCCTTCTTTCAGCTTCATATGTGGTTGTATTCCTGGTAAGGCTCTCTCTAAGTATCTTCCTTCAATAGTCAATTTTTAAACTAAATATTTTTGCAGAAGTTGAGTCTTTGCTCAGCAAAAAATAAGCTCCTTTCATAGTTTTTAGTTTTATTTTATCCTGCTCTTTTTCTCTTAGAAGACAAGCAGGACTAGTAGAAGTCAGCAATTCCTCTTTGTTTGGGAACAAATTAACTCTAAAACCCGATTTCTCCCTTTATGCAGCACTGAGTTCATGTCGCTCTCCAGGGTTGGCTGTAAAATAAATACTTCTGACAGCGACCCACCCTTAATACCT